CATCTATTTTAAATTTCATCGTGTTACGTTCAGCAGTTTAGGCTACAAACTCTAACAAACCTCAAACCATCTAAATTTTCGCATCTAAAATATTAGTAAAATAAGATAAGAAGTAAGCTGTTCCCGTAGTGCTTTAACCGCGTGATATAAAAACTTATGTATCTATCAACATAAGATCAAATCTGTCTATACTATTATAATAAAGCGTAAACACACACTTCTTTGTTCCCTAATATGTCAGCAATCACAGCATATTTTCGAATAACTCTTTTTTAACAAAAAGTCCTACACTTACGTCACGCTTTAGGCTATATATTGTCACGCCGTTAAACTTAGGGGTAAATATTTTGGATAAAAACCCTAATGTGGGAAAGAGACCATAAGTTGTTGCCAACACCAATGGTTTGACATCATGTCATGTCATTTTGACATTTGCAATTGATTATTTGACAAATGTGAACGATAAAATGAAATTTATATAATTTTATGCGGATGAAGTCGCGAGCAACATCTAGTATTTAATATAATCCATTTAATTAATACTTAGTATAATATTTTATTATTTTTCTTAATAAGATATAAAATTCTAACCTCAAAATACAATAATTACGTTTCATAATATTCTATTAGCCTCGATCTTTTACAATTGTGTGTTTATTAATAGAGGGATACATTCAATTATAAATGCAATCGCTATTATTGATTATTACAATGATTAATGCTCGTTGACTTTTAAGTAATGAGCCGAGACCATTTTAACACTTTGCATGCCAAAAAGCTGGTATGACCTTTGAATATAGAGAAACAGACTAAGCAGTAATTGTGTACTGAGGAGGTCCTGTCATTTAAAAGTCAAAGGATACCTATAACGTTATGTTTTGATAATGATATTTTTTTAAACGAAATTGATTTCTCCGCATAAAACTTGATGTAATAAAAATGTAGTCAATTTTCTTCTAATCTTGCTTTCTTGATGTTGGCAGCAACTTATGGTCTCTTTCCCACATTAGGGTTTTTATCTAAAATACTTAGATCCTAAGTTTAATACCGTGAAAATATATAGCCTAAAGCGTGACGTTAGTGTAGGGCTTTTTATTAAAGAAGGTATTATTCCAAAATATACTGTAATTGCCGAGATCCTACGCCACAAAGTAGTGTGTGTTTACGCTTTATTATATTAGTATAGAAGTATAGATATAGATTTACATATCTATAGATTATATTTTAAATATCAATAAATATGTTTTTAAAGTACTTATAAACGAGCGAACTTATATTTCATAAATGCCAATTTATCTAAAAACTTTTCATATAACTTCGATTTTCCGCATTTAGTCTTTGAATAGGAAAATTGAAATTTGTAAAGGCAAATGGGTATGCGGATATCCTAAGGCTATTCCGTTGGCCTGTTGGTTGAGCTTTACTGAAAGAGCTTTTACGTTTATATGGACTTTTGCTTTTAAAATATACGCTTTTACAAAACATTGACATCCGTTAAAAATGGCATAACGCACTACAATGTTGATATATCTGATCCATTTTTATATATTTCGATGAATACTTAAGATAGCTGTTGCCCGTGACTTCGTTTGCGCGGTATTAAAAATGATATAACTATGGAAAAAATATGTGCAATCTATGTGTACAGACTATCCTCTATGTCTATGCCAAATTTCATCGAAATCTATTAAGCTAGGCTACAAACTAACATACATCCATCTAAACTTATGTATCATCATCATCAACTTGTCTTTATTATGGAGGGTTGTCACAGTACGTGCTGCTCCATATGATACTATCAGCCGTCGAATCTGAATCCACTCCCTTCCTCTTTCACACAATCCATCCATACTTTCTTCGGTCTTCTTCTACCTTTGTAGCCATTCAATCTTAACACTTTCTGGTTTATGTCCCCATCTCGTCGCATAACATGTCCATACCACGCTAACCTTTTGCTTCTCAATTTCTCTATCTAAACTTTTGTATGCAAGTATAACATTAGTAAGGTAGATTGATATCTTACTAATATTATAAATGCGAAAGTTAAGATGGATGTTTGTTAGTTTGTAGCCTAAACGACTTAACGGATTTCGGTGTAATTTGGTACAGATGTAGAGGATAGTCTGGAAGAACACATAGACCACTCACTTTTGTTTTTATTGCTCCGCGCGGACGGAGTCGTGGGCGGAAGCTAGTTAGTTATAATCTTTTATTAATAGAATTTTGTGTAATGTAACGGTAGGACGTGTTTACAATCCGACGCATAAAGTTGTAACTCGGTTTATTTTAGAAAAAAAATACTTTATTTTTTAGTAATGTTATAAAAGATGCTTATTTTATCCAATTCAAATAGTAAACATTTAATTATATAAAGTTAACATATAAAGTTTTTAATGTACTAAAAAAAAAAATCTGCTAAAAAATTTTTTTTCGAGTTACAACTGTGTACGTGGAGATCCAATTATAGTGTCAGTTAAGTGGGGCTGTATATAAGTGTACTCGATGATAGAGACTGGCAGATATCCATGGCAGAACGCACACTTGACCGGGATAGTCAGCGCGACTGCGCCAAATACAATAGGATGAGAGTTCACTCAGAGGTTAAAATTAACCATACGATATGTTCGTAGAGACACTTTTGTCTTTTGTTTTTGAAGTCAGCGTTTGACATAACACTGATCTAATATAGAATAGAACTTTGTTGCTATCGATATTGTTTGTTATTAACTAGATGTTGCTCGCGACTTCGTTCGCGCGGAATAAAAAATTATTAATATAAAAATAAAAAGTATTAGCCTATGTGATCTTTCAGACTATCCTCTACATCTATACTGAAATTCATCGAGATTCGTTCAGCAGTGTAGGCCAAAACTCTAACAAACACCCATGCACCCATAAAAACTTTCGCATTTATAGTATTTTTAAGAAGAAAGACTAGCTGATCCTTGCGACTTCGTCCCTGTGGATTTTAAAAAATAATAATGAAGCCTATGTTACCGAGGGATAACGTAGCTTTTTTTAAATCATCCCAATTATTGAATTAACTCTGAAATTACTTACATGCAAAAATACAACCCTTTTCCTTTTATATTATTAGTATAGATTTATTTACTTTACTAAAATGATTGTAAAAAATTCGTCGTACAAATCCACAGAAGGGGTTAGCACTAATTTGACCGTAAGATCTTTGTATTTAAGATTTATCTATTTACATTTGTTTCTTCTATTTTATCTGACTTGCATTTCCTATTTATTCCATTAATTAATTATTGTTCAGATTAACATAAAAACAGTTTTTATAAAATACACTAATGCTTTGGATAAACATAGATTAAGTAGTTATAGATTGGACAGTTCTATCTGTAGAGTTTAAATAAATTATGGTAGATTGATCCACTTTTTTCTACGATATTACGAATTGCTTTAAACTATTCAATTCTAACGTACAAAAAAATTCAGCTATAGAAAACAAATGTATAATTTCAAAACCACAAAAGCATTTGCAAAAGCCAAAGTGTGTTGCGTAATGTATTTTTAATAAACTTTTTGTAAAGTAGTTTTTAAACGAATTATTGAGTAACCGTTTTTTGCCAACATATTGCCAACATTAGGAAAAGGGTTTAGAAAACTAACAAATAAACAAATTATAAATCACTGTAGTTATAATAACATCCATCCAAAACATTCGCATTTATAATATTAGTAAGAAATGAGATGGTAAGGGTCCCACTCCTGGCTGATAGAGGCTCAGATAGCTTAATACCGTCACTGTTAGATAAAGTAACAAATCCGATATATCCATCGCATATTTTACACGTTGGTTGTTATCAGACAATTTACAATTTGGTGGGACAGGCCCTAAGACTTGTTTATCATTTACGCACTTTCGTCTGTCGCATCTACATTTCTAATCTTTGATGGCTGGTAGTTGTTATTCTTAAAACTTCAGAAACTACTAAAATAAACGTTTAAATCAAGATAGAGATAGGATATGGCAAAGCTTCAAGACGTTGATTAATTCTAACGACAGTACATTTGAATCTCTACGAATGTTCTAAACGTCGTCTTCAATTTACAACAAACTATATGAAATATTTTAATGTTTTAAATCGCATGATAATCATTTATAAAAACGATAGCAAAATATGTTTCTGACGCATTCGCTTTTCATCTATTTGCATACTCAAGATCCACATATTTTGATGTTTTAGTTTTCTTTTTGACCGACTTCAAAAAAAGGAGGTACTTAATTCGTCTGTATGTTTTTTATGTTACGGCATAACTCCGCCGCTAGTGGACCGATTTTAATAATTCTTTTTTTTATTTCAAAGGTAGAGCTTGCAGGGTCCCGTTTTGTTTGATTTTTGGAATCAAAGACTACGGCGTAAATAGTTTAGTTTAAAATCTCGTGACGAAATTTGGGGTCTTTCTAAAAAACGAATGACATTATTTTCAATTGTTTCTCGGTAATTGTAATTCTATATTGTTATTTGTACGCTGTTGTCCTGTCTTCTATCCATACTAGTTAATATTATAAAGAGGAAAGATTTGTATTTTTTGATTTTTGTATGTATTTGATTCACGCAAAAACTACTGCGCCGATTTCAAAAATTCTCTCACCGTTAGAAAGGTAATTTATCTGTGAGTAACATAGGCCATATTGTTTAATTTTACGTAGACAAGGTCGCGAGCAACAGCTAGTATTAGATATTTACGATCCTACATTTGAGAACGAGAATGAAAATAAGGTAACACTTTATAATAGCGAATCAAGCCGTTTACATTAAATTTACTTTAAACGATAGGAAATTATGTCATTTACGGTGATATGACATTATTTTGGATATAGTAATTTATTTCTAAAAAAATAAAACCGTAAAAACTATATAGATTATTTATGGTGCATTTCACTACTACTACTAAAAATAATTTTTGATTGTTAAAATTTTTTAATTAAATTATCATAACTGGCTTTAAAAATACATACAAAAAGTACGCACCGTTCTTATGTCCATAATATCCTGTCCCTGAGGAGGAACCGCTGCCGGTGGAGGAACCCTGAGGCTGCCGGCCCTCGTCCTCTGCCTCCAGAGGCAGTGGGTTTGACTCCATCTTGTCACTACACTTCACTTACACATCACTGCACATATCTTTGACAAACACAAACACTGGTATACCTGAAAAAAAGAAAAAAATATATAATCTATGTCTAATTTGATGTTTTGATTTTTTTTAATTGTAAACACTAAAACAATTGGAAATTGCTGATTCAGTTATTAAAAAAAAAACTACGTACTGGCCACATACATTCTATAAAAAAGAACATTTAAAACTCCGCAGATAGCATTTCAAAAAATTCCAATTTACAATTTCAAATTTCGAACGCTCTCCGAACGCGATCGCGTTAACCGAAATTCACGAAGCTTTCGTTTCGAAATCAGAGCAAGAGTGAAGTCCGGCGTATGATAAAATCAGTCCTGTAGTTGCAACACACTAGCTAAACGTGTCTAAATCTATGCATTGAAAAGAGACGAATACATTTTTATCGTTTGTTATTTAGATTTGAAATAATTCTCTAATTAGAAATATTGCTTTAATTAATTATATTCTGACCCGAAGGCGTAACAAATATGCTATTAATTTTTCTGTACAAATACCATTGTGAGTGATATTTTATTTGAATGCTATTCTTATTAAATTTATTTGACATGTAGATTAATTTTTGGCTTTAGTTTTAGGGATTTACTAAGATATTCATGGATAACATTTCTAATATAATAGGTGTTTTTAGTAATTGTCATTTTCTTATTTGTAAAATCTCCGAATTTCCGAACGGCTGGGCTGATTATGGCTTGACTTTCATGAGCAAATTTTACGCTAGCTGTAAAATTGAATTTAAATAATTCAGATTTTGTTAAAACAATTTTAATAGGAGCCATTTTTTTGACAAAAGCCAAATGAACCAAGTTTGACAAATGTGAAATTTCATTTATCGAACGCACGGATTCCGATACGATTTGAATACGCAGGGAAATAGTTCCTAATATAAATCTAAAATTTTGTTTATTCCTATTATTGCATACTTCCTCATATATCATAAATTAGTAGTTTGTAACTAAAAATGAGTGGATCGGTAGATATAAAGAAAATAGTGAGAAAATTTATTTTCTGCATAATATTTTGGCTATCGACCAAAAGCGGTACTTGACAACGAGAAATAAGCGGGAAATATAAGTTGTTTTTTCCCATCTCTTTCTAGTTCTACATCTACCGGTGTACTTCCACACTCATAACTAACGTTCTCCTTGTAACATGCGACTCATCCCTGATAACATGCCCATACCATGCTAACCTTTTACTCCTTACCTTCTCTAATACTGGGGCTACTCTCAAACTTCCTCTTTTATTCTAATTTCGTATCATATTGTCTTCTAAAAAACAAACATTTGTCAAGATCATTTCTGTCTCTAGATAATTAAATATACTCGAAGTCTCAAGATAAATAGGTCAGAGCGATTCATAACAATTACACATTGTTGTTTATTAATTGCTTGTAATTTCACATCGATGTCACGCCAAATTATTGTAATGACTGAGAGTTAAAATAAACTGCTTTGTGGTTAATTAATTCGTTGCTTTACGCTTTTCTGTGATTTATATGGGTTTGGTACACGGCCACGGCACCACATTCTTCTAATTAAAATGCTTCTTTCTTGAATGCATTGCTTAGAATTAAAAGTAGTTGCGTTTGAAGCGCCAGTGATGGAGAAATTGAGAAGCAAAAGGTTAGCATGGTATGGACATGTTATGCGACGATATGGGGACATAAACCAGAAAGTGTTAAAATTGAATGTGGATGGATACAAAGGAAGAGCAAGCCCGAAGAAATTATGGATGGATTGTGTGAAAGAGGATATGCTTAAGAATGGAGTGGATTCAGATATGACGGCTGATAGAGATGTATGGAAGAGCAGCACATACTGTGCCGACCCATAAGGGATAAGGGCAAGTGGATGATGATGCATTGCTTAGAATTTATTATAGTAGTGGAATTATAAGAAAGTTTAAACTAAATGTTAGATTTTTACTACTCTTTGTAGGAAGTATAGATAAAAACAATTTTTTAGACAAACTAACTCACGCGGGGCAAAACTCAGAGCACACCTTTGACTAAACTATCGCACAATTGTTTAGTCTCGCTTTGATTCCTATGAGCTTATATGGAGGTTCGCATAATACATTTTAGTTGTACAACTAAACAATTGAGGCTGGAAACAATCGACAATCGCACAACAGTTGTGATAGTTTACTCAAAGTACGCACGCTCTAACACTTAGCAACAGACTTAGAAGGACTTTGACATCGCATTAGCAATCATAGTTTGAAGCATTCGTTGGCAGACGTCCACGGAGCGATACTGACCTGACAGTTATTGGATCACTGCATTAACTGCACTTTGCACTAACAATGTTTAGATATCTGTTGTTCATTATTTACCTGCTACATATAAAATTGAATAACCAGGATTGTCAAAAATACTAAAGAAGAATCTAATTTACGGTATTAAATACAATTTATATAACCTTTACCCGCAATTTCATCTGCGTGGAATTATAAAAACAAAAGTGAGTAGCCTATGTTTTCTTCGAGAGTTTGTTCTTCACCTATGCTAAATTTCATCGTGATTCGATTGAACCGTTTAAGAAAACTAACAAACATCCGTCTAAACTTACATTATTTATATTATTAGTAAGATAGATCGAATGTTTAATACAAGATTGAGTAAATTCCTCTAAAGACCTTTTTTTGTCTTACTTTTATGATCTCAATAAGGTATCTTATATTTATGGTTATCATAGTTAACAGAAGCCGACCAAGATTTTATGTACAAAAATCTTTTAACTGCTGAATAGTCGCTGAAATTTCTCTGTCTGGATTGTCTGGAAGAATAGATAGGCTACTCACTTTTGTTTTTTAATTCCAAATTTCAAGTCGCGGACGGAAGCTAGTATACAAATATCTTGCTAGCTATTTGTATTCCAGGTACTGGGGTGCACAAACCCTGTAGCAGGCACGTGTGTGAATGCATGCCAGTGTGCTAATCCATCATGTGTATTGTCGCTCTTACTTTTACATTGGAAATCCGCCTTTATATTTAGTACTAAAGCGTCATGTGACAAACTTCACAATGATGACTACCATCTGTGAAAACATTACTAAAGGGCGTTTATTTTAAGACTCGCATGTTGTAATAGTTTTCATATATGAAAGTAGGGTAAAAAATGTGTCGCAATATTCGTCGAAAATAATGTTTGAAGATCAGTACTGCAGATGTAGACGTTACCAGACTCGGTATGTATTAGTCAAAGACTTTAAAAATATATAGACGAGGCAGCGAAGTAATTTTTTTCATTGGCGCTTTCTCTGAAAGGTACTATATCAGTTGCCAAGTATAGTGCCACCTGATGTCCTTGCATTGACACATCTTACTAATCTTACTAATATTATAAATGTGAAAGTTTAGATTGATGGATGTTTGTTAGAGTTTGAAGCCTAAAAGGCTAAACAGATCTGGATGAAATTTGGCACACATGTAGAGGATAGTCTGGAAGAACACATAGGCTACTTTCTTTTGTTTTATTAATACCACGCGGACGGAGTCACGGGCGGAAGCTAGTAATAGAATATTTTACGAAATCATTATAAGCTCTACAAACATTTAAATATTATGCAATAACACATATTTGTAATCAGAGATTAGTGAGATCATGTGAAAAATTACTCAAATGAAATGTCAATTATGCCACCTCTATATACTGTTTAAATCTCCATGTTTACGACCAATACCCAAAGGGTATCTGTCTTTACAAAATGTAATATCATGAACAAATCTTCAATTCAAACAACTTTTTTTACGTATTGTGTAAATTTCAGAAGACAACTCAATAAGGTGGAAGTTTATTGAGATAGGATTTGTTTGTAAGCCGTTTTGTGGCAAATCAGAAAATTTATGATTCAATCGGAAACATTGTAAATGTGATAAACATATTTCTAAGTCGATGTACTTACTACTGTCTTGTATAAGACAATCGATGCTTTATGTTTATAATTTAAATGTCACTTCATACTGAACAAAGTCGCTTCTCGCTGTCTGTTTGTTTATATCTTTAAAACTACATAACGGATTTGATGCAGTTTTTATAATAGACCAGGTGTTCCCATGCGGCTTAATTCGCAGGAAATTATGGATATTTTAATTTTTTTTAAATTATCAAGAGTAAATGTCAAACTGACATGACATGACAAACCTTAGCCATTTTTCTTGATGTTGGCAGCAATTTATGGTCTCTATCCCACATTAGGGATTTTATCTAAACTATTTAACCCCTAAGTTTAATGGCGTGAAAATTTATAGCCTAAAGCTTGACCGAAGGCTTTTTATTAAAAAAAGAACTACTTAAGAAAATATGGTGTAATTGCTGACATCTTAGGCAACAAAGAAGTGTGTGTTTACGCTTTATTATAATCAGTATAGATATAAGAATATCCATAAAAAATATAACATGTCTTCTATATTGGACAGTTTAAAATAAACATATGCCATTGTAAAAATAACTCATAGACAGATTCAGTGCACTGTAACGTTTGTTTTACGTAACTTGTAACATAAACACGTCTGTAACGTAAATAAACGTTACAATTTGCTCGTAGCTGCGTTACAAAGAACGTAAATTAGAATAGACTATTATTTATGTATTGTTTTTTGTTTTTTTTTTTAACTAGACATCTCCGGGGACTTTGTTCGAGTGGAATTTAAGAGCAATACATTGACTAAACTTTCGCACAACTGTTATGCGACTGTCGATTGTTTCGCAGTCAACTGTTTAGTTGCACAACTAAAATTCGAGTAGTATGTCCATATAAGCTGATAAGAATCAAAGCGAGACACTACATTCTTGCATTCTTATAGGTGTCGTTTGGAGCGTCGGTGGCTCAGTGGTTTGAACACTTGACTTGTAATCTACAGGTCTTGGGTTCGAATCCCGCCGTACCAATATGATTTTCGAATTTTCATATGTACATAATTTACCCGACGTTCTTACGGTGAAGGAAAACATCGTGATGCAACCTGCACATATCGGCGAAGAAATTCAAAGATATGTGTGAAGTCAACCAACCCGCACTTGGCCAGCGTGGTTAACTATGGCCTAGTCACCCCTTATTAGGGTAGGCTCCGAGCCCCTCGGTGGGGACGTATAGTGAGCTGGTGATGATGAGGTCTCGTTTCGCTATTTAAGCGAATTTAGGTGTCCGCTTTACTGTTTGTTACCTTATGATATAAAATTTTTGAATATTAATTTAAAGAGAAAAGATTAAATATTTCTCGTACCCTATTTTTGCGACACCGAAATTAATTTGAAATTTAAT